AGATGAGCAAGCAGTTCAGTTCTAGAGAGCCAGAGTTAAAGCTCGGCTTCATTGCCTCATTGGAGAAGAAGTGGACTCAGAGCAAGTAGGAAGACTGCAAAAGTGCAGGCGACTTAGGGTGCTTCTCCACCAGGCATGGGCAAACTAGGTCTCTCTATATTTGAAAGACAAGCTAGGAGAAAGAGGTTGTTGTTTATTCGTTCAGTCGCTTCCTACTCTTTGTGACCTCCTGGACCAGCCCACATCGGAGCTCCCTGTTAGCCGTCACCACCCCCAACTCCTTCAGAGTCAAGCCAATCACTTCAAGGATACCATCCACCCATCTTGCCCTTGGTCAGCCCCTCTTCCTTTTTCCTTCAATTTTCCCCAGCATCATTGTCTTCTCTAAGCTTTCCTGTCTTCTCATGATGTGGCCAAAGGACTTCATCTTGGCCTCTACTACTCTTCCCTCCAATGAGCAGTCGGGCTTTATTTCCTGAAGTATAGACTGGTTGGATCTTCTCGGTCCAAGGCACTCTCAGAACATTCCTCCAGCACCACAGTTCAAAAGCATCTATCTTCCTTCGCTCAGCCTTCCTTATGGTCCAGCTCTCATATCCATAGGTTACTACAGGGAATACCATTGCTTTAACTATGCGGATCTTTGTTGCCAGTGTGATGTCTCTACTTTTCACTATTTTATCAAGGACTAACTCAGCTATGGAAAAGGTGCATCCAATAAAGTCTACAACTGGGGTAGAAGATGAGTCCTCCCATAGTATTTCTCCTATAAAACGGGGGGTTTGGGGTTAAATGGGATCAAGGGAAGAACTAATACAGCTGTGGAAAATATGCATCCAACAAACTTTACATTAGGGTAGAAGCTTGAGTTCTCCCAACACATTTCCCCTATAAAATTTGAGATTTGGAGCTCAATGGGATCAAACTATGGAAGAAGTGCACCCAATGAAAACCACAACTGGGGTAGACATTGAGTCCTCCCAACATATTTCCCCTATAAAGTGGATGATTTGGGACTCCATGGGATCAAGCTATGGAAGAAGTACACCCAATGAAGTCCACAACTAGGGTAGAAGTTGAGTCCTCCCAATGCATTTCCCTTAAAAACTGAGGAATTTGGAGCTCAATGGGATCAAGAGAAGGACCAACCCAGCTGTGGAAAGGGTGCATCCAATGAAATCCTCAATTAGGGTGGATATTGAGTCCTCCCAATGAGCTGGTCATAGACCGTAATGAAGTGAACTTGAATGTGAGTCCTCCCAATGTATTTCTCCTATACAATGGAAGATTTGGAGCTCAATGGGATCAAGGGAAGGGCCAACCCAGTTGTGGAATAGGTGCATCCAATGAAGTCCTCAACTAAGGTAGAAGTTGAGTCCTCCCAATGTATTTCTCCTATACAATTGGAGATTTGGGGCTCAATGGGATCAAGGGAAGGCCCAAGCCAGCTATAGGAAAGGTGCATCCAATGAAGTCTACAACTGGGGTAGAAGTTGAGTCCTCCCAATGTACTCTCCTATACAATGGGAGATTTGGGACTTAGTGGGAAGGGACAACACAGCTGTGGAAAAGATGCACCCAATGGACTCTACATTAGGGTAGAAGCTGAGTTCTCCCAACATTCATCCGCTTCAAAAATGGGAGATTTGGGCTCAATGGGATCAAGCTATGGAAAAGGTGCATCTAATGAAGTCCACGATTAGGGTAGAAGTTGAGTTCTCCCAACGTATTTCTCTTATAAAATGGCAAACCTAGAACCAGAGAAGGCTGCTATGGAAGCTCCTTGCTTTTGCACAGATGGGAAGATGAGTGGGAGATATGTTTTTGGAAAAGCAAGCTGGGGATGGATGGTTTCACCTCCGTCATGGTGTTGAGTCAGTGCAAGGTGCCATCTGCAACCTGGCAAATCCATCCTCCAGGAATTTTGTCAGAGCAAGGAGTAGGCAAAGGGAATCATTCCAAACTTGTTGGTGAAGTGCCAAGTTCTCCCTCCCACTTTGTCCCAGGGACAAAAATATCTAAATAATATATATCATAGAGCTGGAAGCTATTTTTAAGAAGAGATAATGCAATGAGAAGCCAATGCCATCCATGACGCAGTCTTGTCCCATTAATGTTCAGGTGTGGACGACGTTGGTGTGTTCTTCAAGTTGTTACTTTTCCAAAATTTTTGTCCAAAACATGAACATTTCCAAACTCTGGTCATTACATTCATTCATCTCTCCCCACCCCCACCCAAAACAACTATGGACAAAGTAGCATAAATACTGGGAAGCACTTTTCCATTGGTTTCACACAATAGTTCTTCAGAAAATCATAGTCCACAAAACAAGGACGTGAAGAGAGTGTCTTATTTAATTTTGGAGGAACAGTTTTGGGAAGAGAGAAATATAATTGTTCATAAGGAGGAGAAAAGAGGAGCAAGCCATTTTGATCCGGGATATTAGTCAGCCCTCCTTATCCACAGGTTCTGCATCCATGGATTCAACTATCCATGGCTTGCCATTTTATATAAGGGACACCATTTTACCACACCATTGTGCATAATAGGACCCTATTATCCATAGATTGCCATATTTTATTATTATTATTAGTAGTAGTAGTAGTAGTAGTAGTAGTAGTAGTAGTAGTACTGTGAGAGCCGTTCAGCAGTAGAACTCTGCCCTGGAGTGTGGTGGAGGCTCCTTCTTTGGAAGCTTTTAAACAGAGGCTGGATGGCCATCTGTCAGGGGTGATTTGAATGCAATATTCCTGCTTCTTGGCAGAAAGGGGTTGGACTGGATGGCCCATGAGGTCTCTTCCAACTCTTTGATTCTATTATGATTCTATGAGTAGTAGCGGTAATATTTATTAGGATTGTGCTTTCTGGGTAAACCTTGCCCTGTTTCTGTCCCGGCTTTCATTGGGGGCCCTGATCAGTTTTTTGGAAACTTCCCTGAATTGGGAGGGTAGATATTTGTTTTTGGTTTGGGCCCAGGGTCTTGGTGGTGACCAGGGGAGCTTTTGCACAATTAAAACTTGTGGACCAGCTGCGCCCATACCTTGGGAAACCAGCAGAGACGGCCCTAGGTAATTTTCAATGGTAAGCAAACAGTATTTTTCGCACCCCCCCCCCCAACCAATCATTGATATATATTTTCTGTTTGTCGTGGGAGTTCTGTGTGCCATATTTGGTTCAATTCCATCATTGGTGGAGTTCAGAATGCTCTTTGATTGTAGGTGAACTATACATCCCAGTAACTACACTTGCCACACTTGCTCCCTTGCCTGGCCCGCTTTGGGTCCGGAGGCATGCCTGAAGACCCCGGCGTGTGCACCAAAAGTCACCTCTTCTCCTGACTTTCTCCTCAGCCATTGGGACCAAGAGAGAGAGAGAGAAGGTGGAGATGCCCACCTTTCCTGAAGGTAGGCGCAAAAACAAAGGAGGGAGCGGAGGTGGGAGATACCTCCAGCCGGAGGGGCTCTCTCTCTCTCTCTCGGTGTCCCAATGGCTGAAGAGAAAGTCAGGAGAAGAGGTGGCTTTTGGTGCACACGCTGGGGTCTACAGACACGCCTCCGGACCCGAAGCGGGCCAGGCGTGGAGGCTCCGCCCCTTGGCCCACCCGCGGATTGGGGAGAGGAGAGGAGCTGGGTGGAGCGCCGGGGGATCGGGAAAGGGAGCTGGTCATGGGGAAGGGATCGAACACAGTAGCCAGGTGGAGTAGGAACGAGAGAGGGCTAGGCAAGGCTCAAGGGCCCGGCCCCTTTGGGAAGAGGATCGCCCGGCAGCGAGGCAAGAAAGCCGAGGCTCCCCCCGGACTGCTAGGGCTGTTGTGAGCTGAGGGGGCACTCCTCAAGTGGCGGTCGAGGGGCATTTACAGAGGCGCCTCTGCGCCCCTGGCAAAAAAAGTGTTCTGCGACCGCTTACTTTGCGTAATGGACGAGCCGCCCCTGGAAGCCAGACTTGGCTATATTTAGTGTATTTTAAAGTTGTTTTGTAATTTGTGATATATGATATTTTAATGAATGTATATGTTTTTATGGCTGTAAACCGGGCTGAGTCCCTCAACGAGGTTGAGAAGCTCGGTATACAAAACTGTGAAATAAATAAATAAATTGGCTATGGTAGTAGAGTGCCCAAGTCAAGGGAAGCAACAGCCCCACTATATTTTGCACTACTCATACTTCAGTTGATTTCGGTTGAACATGAGGAAGAACTTCCTGACTGTGAGAGCCGTTCAGCAGTGGAACTCTGCCCCGGAGTGTGGTGGAGGCTCCTTCTTTGGAAGCTTTTAAACAGAGGCTGGATGGCCATCTGTCAGGGGTGCTTTGAATGCAATATTCCTGCTTCTTGGCAGAGGGTTGGACTGGATGGCCCATGAGGTCTCTTCCAACTCTTTGATTCTATGATTCTATTATGGCATGTCAGCTCTCCCGCTGTTAGCCCCACCTTCTGCCAACCTAGCAGTTTGAAAACATGCAAATGTGAGTAGATCAATAGGTACCACTCAGGTGGGAAGGTAACGGATGCTCCATGCACTCATGCCGGCCACATGACCTAGGAGATGTCTATGGACAACGCCAGTTCTTCATCTTAGAAACAGAGATGAGCACCAACCCCCAGAGTTGGATACGATTGGACTTAATATCAGGGAAAACCTTTACCTTACATTTGATATAACACTTAGCTTCAGTCTAAGAACTAAGGTAAAACCATCCATCTATGCAGCTGTTATCATATTTAACTTAAAACTATCCATCTATGTGACTGGTCACACACTCAGGAAAAGATATAATGGACCCAAGTGATGCTCTGCTGAAATTGTTGCCCAATTTATTTTCTAACGAAATAGCCTTTGCAATGCAGAGAGAGAGAGAGAGAGAGAGAAAATCACAAAGTGGTCCTCTTCTCTATTTTCATCACATTCCAATTTATGCTGATGATGCATGTATGAAAAACAACCCAGGAGAAGCTTTGGGGACCTGAGCTTGTCTCGGCACCAAATTGGCTCAATTACCAACTGCGTTCGGAGCTCGGGTTGGGCGGAAAATGGAAATGAACACCCCTGGCGCGTGTGGCATTACGTGGTGGGTGGGCAGAATCGAGCCAAGGCAGGCAGGCATAAATAGCCAGGTGGACCAGGCTGGTGCCAGATGCAAACATCCGGAGGCAGGAGTCGGAAAGCAGAGCTGTGAGACCATCACCACCACCACCATGACTCCAGCATCCATCCCAATCTGCCTCTTCTGCCTGTTTGCCTTCTCTTCTGCCTGCTACATCCAGAACTGCCCTCGAGGAGGAAAGAGGGCCTATCCGGACACTGAGATCCGACAGGTAACACTGAAGGGTTTGCATCTGCAGGAGAGAGAAAGAAAGAGAATGCATGGAAAAAGAGAGAAAATGCTGCCTTTAACTCCTTTCATCTTCCAGGTTTTTGGTTTGTTGTGTGCCTTTCAGAAGCCCTGAGGCAGGCATGGGCAAACTTTGGCCCTCCAGGTGTTTTGGACTTCAACTCCTACAATTCCTAACAGCCGGATTCTATGATTCTATGTTAATATTTATTTTTTTCATGTTTTTAATTGCATTGCTTTTTAGGTTGTAGGAAGCTTTGGGTCCCTGCTTTAGAGGAAAAAATGCAGATGCATAAATATAACAACAACAACAACAACAACAACAACAAGAGTCCTAGTCCAATGCTCAAATCACTACATTATGCTGGGTCATCAGTTATTGCTGTTGTTGTTGTTGTTGTGAGCCTTCAAATCATAGAATCATAGAATCAAAGAGTTGGAAGAGACCTCATGGGCCATCCAGTCCAACCCCATTCTGCCAAGAAGCAGGAATATTGCATTCAAATCACCCCTGACAGATGGCCATCCAGCCTCTGTTTAAAAGCTTCCAAAGAAGGAGCCTCCACCACACTCCGGGGCAGAGAGTTCCACTGCTGAACGGCTCTCACAGTCAGGAAGTTCTTCCTCATGTTCAGATGGAATCTCCTCTCTTGTAGTTTGAAGCCATTGTTTCGCGTTCTAGTCTCCAGGGAAGAAAACAAGCTTGCTCCCTCCTCCCTGTGGCTTCCTCTCACATATTTATACATGGCTATCATATCTCCTCTCAGCCTTCTCTTCTTCAGGCTAAACATGCCCAGCTCCTTAAGCCGCTCCTCATAGGGCTTGTTCTCCAGACCCGTGATCATTTTAGTCACCCTCCTCTGGACACATTCCAGCTTGTCAATATCTCTCTTGAATTGTGGTGCCCAGAATTGGACACAATATTCCAGGTGTGGTCTAACCAAGGCAGAATAGAGTATGGGTAGCATTACTTCCCTGGACCTAGACACTATGCTCTTCATCAAATAGTAAAATCATTTTTACTCTTTGATGAATCTATAAAAGGTTGGATTATTTTCCAAGTCTTCAGTCTGTTCTGGTGTACCTCTTTGCAAGATTTGTTTAGATGAGGTTTGCAATTGTCTTCCTCTGAGGCTGAGAGAGTGTGACCTGTCCAAGGCTCACCCAGTGGATTTCAGTGGCTGAGTGGGAATTCAAACCTTGGTCTCCAAAGCCAAAGTCCAATTGTTCAAACTACTGCACCATGCTGGCTGTTAACACTATGTATGTATGTATGTATGTATGTATGTATGTATGTATGTATGCATGTATGTAACACGACTTTTGTTCCTGGATTATAAATGTCATTTCCTAAAGTTTGTGTTTGTTTTTGTGGGAGAGACATCCTGCAGCATACTGATTACAGTACCTTTGGACACTGAGTACCATAATAATAATAATAATAATAATAATAATAATAATAATAATAATAATAATACTTTATTTATACCCCGCCACCATCTCCCCAAGGGGACTTGGAGCGGCTTACATGAGGCCAAGCCTGACAACACATCAATAAAACAAAAAACAAAAATACAATTAATATAACTCACATATAAACAGTAACACGCAAGGATTTAAAAAACCTTTACTTCAATTTTGCCTCTGCAAAATGGGTATAATGAAGCTCCATCTCATTATATGTGAGTCCGCTCTAAGTTCTAGTCCAAACATTAATGGAGCTTATTGTCGAAGGCTTTCATGGCCGGAATCACTGGGTTGTTGTAGGTTTTTTCGGGCTATATGGCCATGGTTTAGAGGCATTCTCTCCTGACGTTTCGCCTGCATCTATGGCAAGCATCCTCAGAGGTAGTGAGGTCTGTTGGAACTAGGAAAAGGGTTTATATATCTGTGGAATGACCAGGGTGGGACAAAGGACTCTTGTCTGCTGGAGCTAGGTGTGAATGTTTCAACTGACCACCTTGATTAGCATATAATGGCCTGACAGTGCCTGGAGCAAACTTTTGTTGAGAGGTGATTAGATGAGAACCAGATTTTGTTCATTGTGTTCATCTGGCTACCAGTATTAAAAAAACTCTAAAATTAAAACAGCACAACAACAGAGAGGAAACAAACAAGGACATCTAATGGCCATCTATCCCGAAAAAACCTACAACAATCCATTAATTGAGCTATCTCAAGTGTTCCACCCTAAATGAGGCCAGCAGCTTGGATAGCACCTCTTTATAGTTTAGACAAAACCCAAAGTGGACCCATTATTGACACTCCTGGTCCAAACAAGTCTTTGGACATTCAGCATGATCAGTTGAGTCACCTTTAGCAGCTATGACAATTTTGTGGAATCTCCATCTTCCATGGCAGTAGACCTGTTGATTGTGAGAAAAGTGTTGTGAACTTTTCTGTTGTATCTGGTTATTAAGGAGATCTTGCAGCTCTCCCGACAGTGGTAGGCTACAACTCCCCTCATTTCTGAACTCCATTCTAAAACCCAGCAGCCTTTGGCATCCTATTTCTATGCAGATGGATGCCTTTTGCTCCCACACTTGGCTGTCATTCAAAGCATTGTGCATGCAAATCATGCTGACTTAGCCAATGATGGTTGAAGCTCCCAAATTAGAGAGGTAATGAATCCACAGCAGGTTTCAATCCTGGAGTTTCAGGAACTGTCCAAAGTGCTGAATCCTCTTCAGAAATAGATTCAGCACTTTGGAGAGCTCAGTGTAGTAAACCTGAAACAGATTTGCCATCTCAATGATATGGAAGCAGCCATTGGTCTTAGCAAATATTGAATGACTATGTGTGTATGTGCCTTCAAGTCCATTTATGACAACCTCGTGAATGTTATTATTTATTTATTTATTTATTTATTTCAAATATTTGTACCCCACCCTTCTCTACCCCCGAAGCAGGGAGTAGTCAGGAGTGGTTTTGCAGTTCCTTCCTCTGAAACAGAGCCACAAGACCCAGTGTTTATTGATGGTATCCCATCCAAATATTAACTATGGCTGACCTTGCTTAGCTTCCAAGATCAGAAGGATGTTTAGAGTGCAGTGAACTAATTTGTGTGTGTGTGTGTATGCATGCCTTCAAGTCACCTGTTGACTTTTAACAATCCAATGAATTTCATAGGGTTTCCTTAAGTAGGGAGCCCCCAGTTTCACAGTGGGTTAAACCACTGAGCTGCTGAGCTTGTTGACCGAAAGGTCGCAGGTTTGAATCTGGGGAGTGGTGTGAGCTTGCACTGTCAGCCCCAGCTTCTGCCAACCTTGCAGTTTGAAAATATGCAAAAGTGAGTAGATCAATAGATACCGCTCTGGCCGGAAGGTAACAGCACTCCATGCAGTCCACATGACCTTGGAGGTGTCTATGGACAATGCCGGCTCTTTGGCTTAAAAATGGAGATGAGCTCAAACCCCCAGAATCGGACACCTAGCAATTCGAAAATATGCAAAAGTGAGTAGACCAATAGGTACCGCTCTGGCGGGAAGGTAACAGCACTCCATGCAGTCATGCCGGCCACATGACCTTGGAGGTGTCTATGGACAACGCCGGCTCTTCGGCTTAGAAATGGAGATGAGCTCCAACCCCCAGAATCGGACACCTAGCAGTTCGAAAATATGCAAAAGTGAGTAGATCAATAGGTACCGCTCTGGCGGGAAGGTAACGGCACTCCATGCAGTCATGCTGGCCGCATGACCTTGGAGGTGTGTATGGACAACACCGGCTCTTCGGCTTAGAAAAGGAGATGAGCTCCAACCCCCAGAATCGGACACGACTGGACTTAATGTCAGGTGACAACCTTTACCTTTACTTTTACCTAAGAGGTAGTGTTGCCAATTCCTCCCTCCAAAATAAAGCCAGCAGCATTGGTGGCTTTCCATCCAAGTACCAACTGTGTTGAACATGCTTAGTTTCCAAAAACAGACTTCCTTTAGGCTGTTGCAAAAGCTTTCCAATGCTGTCATTCAACCTACTTCTCATTTTCCCCCCTTTTAGTGTATCCCTTGTGGTCCTGGGAACAAAGGGAACTGCTTTGGCCCCAGCATCTGCTGCGGGGAAGAGATGGGCTGCTACTTTGGCACGGCCGAAACTCTGCGCTGCCTGGAAGAGAATTACCTGCCTTCTCCTTGTGAGGCTGGAGGGAAGCCGTGCAGCGCAGGCGGGAGATGCGCTGCGTCCGGCATTTGCTGCAATGATGGTAAGTAAAGAGGAGAATTCATGTATTTACTTCATTTGTACCCCATCTTTCTCTGCAATGAGTACCCAGGTCAGTTAACAAGGAGGTGAAAAGAAGATACATGTTATGGGGAGAAAGTCCTGCATCGTCAGATGTAACTAAGATGCTGGAGCTCCATCACTGTAGTTACGTCTGTTGATGATGATAACGATAACAACATCTTGGGTTATGTTGATTAATGGCCTCAATGGACAGCTCGGGGAAAATCACTAGTGCTGTTGGAAAAAGATCATTAACATAGAATCATAGAATCAAAGAGTTGGAAGAGACCTCATGGGCCATCCAGTCCAACCCCCTGCCAAGAAGCAGGAATATTGCATTCAAATCACCCCTGACAGATGGCCATCCAGCCTCTGTTTAAAAGCTTACAAAGAAGGAGCCTCCACCACACTCCGGGGCAGAGAGTTCCACTGCTGAACGGCTCTCACAGTCAGGAAGTTCTTCCTCATGTTCAGATGGAATCTCCTCTCTTGTAGTTTGAAGCCATTGTTCCGTTGTGTCCTAGTCTCCAGGGAAGCTGAAAACAAGCTTGCTCCCTCCTCCCTGTGGCTTCCTCTCACATATTTATACATGGCTATCATATCTCCTCTCAGCCTTCTCTTCTTCAGGCTAAACATGCACAGCTCCTTAAGCCGCTCCTCATAGGGCTTGTTCTCCAGACCCTTGATCATTTTAGTCGCCTCCTCTGGACACATTCCAGCTTGTCAATCTCTCTCTTGAATTGTGGTGCCCAGAATTGGACACAATATTCCAGGTGTGGTCTAACCAAAGCAGAATAGAGGGGTAGCATTACTTCCCTAGATCTAGACACTATGCTCCTATTGATGCAGGCCAAAATCCCATTGGCTTTTTTGCCGCCACATCACATTGTTGGCTCATGTTTAACTTGTTGTCCACGAGGACTCCAAGATCTTTTTCACACGTACTGCTCTGAGCCAGCCCATTCTATATCTTTGCATTTCGTTTTTTCTGCCTAAGTGGAGTATGTAAGCTGCCTCAAGTCCCCTTTGAGGAGATGGTGGCAAGGTATAAATAAAGATTATTATTATTATTATTATTATTATTATTATTTATAATTTTCAGAAGCAGTTGCAGCACCTCAAATGAAGGCTTTGCTGCAAGTGCTTCTCCTGATGCTTTGGAACAGCCAGGAAAATATCCGGCGTCCATATCAACTTTGGTTGCGAAAAGGTAGTTCAAAACCTAGGGTTTGGGGATCATGCTGAAAATATAGGTTTGGAGAGTCATGTTCAGATAGTGTTATTTAATTATTTTATTTAAATGCTACTTTCATCCCAGAGTGGGACACAAAAGGGGTTTTAACACATGCAAATGTGTGTCCCAAAATTACAAGATTGTCAGCCTGGTTTACAATTTCATCACCACCACCACCACCATCATCATCTCTATCCCACTTCCAAGAGACCCAAAGCTGCTAACACTGCAAACAATATAACATACTAGCTGTCCCCTGCCATGCGTTGCTGTGGCCCAGTCTGTTATCTGGAAAATAAAGTAATGAGAAAGTGTTGGTTTCTAATATATGTAAAGTCTTTATGCTTGTCGGTAAACAGTATTTCTTGCTGTTTCTTTGTCAGTGTTGATGTGGAGAGTGTCTGGTTTGCCCACCCTGGAACATGCAAACATCAAAACGAGTAATTCACCTAACAATCAAAGAGCATTCTGAACCTCTTGTAACCCGTCACTACAGATAGGTCATTAATCTTCATGGATTATGTATGCGCATTCCCCCATATTGATTAACAGCTTAACCAATGTATAGCACGAAACCTTGACCCCTTAGTAACTTACTCTACTGGTTACTGTCTCCCCAGAATTCCAGACATCTAAAACGTCCTTCGATTTTCCACATACTTCCTTACTACTATCGCATAATACTCATACCTCGAA